CTAGGTGCTTTTCCAGGACAACCATCTACATGCAACCTTGCGCATAGATTCTGATGAGTTCATCTCTAGGCTTGCTACTTTTTTGAATTTCCAAGAAATTAACCAGTGCTTCATACTCACTTGACTGTCCAATTTTTGGCTTCCAATTTTGATTTTTTTCAAAGCTGGCACTTCTCCTACCCAGGATAACTTAGTTACTCTGCTTACCTATTGCTAACGTCTCCCATAGAAGTGCTGTTCCCTTCTTCACTCAAAATATCCGCTTCCATGCAGATTATGGGTTCTCCTCAATCCCCTGAGCAACTTCCAACAGCTGGGCATCAGATATGGTATTCTCTACTTCACTTCCAATCCACTGAATATCTCACAAAATTGAGGAGCCATTTCCTGGACCATTTTCCCATCACCAGTATTAGCAATATTATCAGCTTTGATCATTGTTCTCTACCACATCCTCTGTCTTTGATTTTCAAACATTTTCCACCTTTGTCTTTCCTATAGTCATTGTATTAATGAAAGACATCGAGAATTTTGAAGCATAAAGCATCTAGATTCTTTAAAGCTGAGTCATAAACTTATACAAATGTGGCCCAAGGACTATACTTAAAAACCTGCATCTCATATTCATGGCTATAGTGCCTTTCACTGAGAGTGGCCCATTTAATCCATGGTCCCACTTTGCCCATAAGTGAAGGGCTGGAAAAGACATGATGTTAGAAGCCTAAAGAGAAATCTGTCCACTGTGGAGACACTATCTTAATATTGGCAATCACTTTATCATTTGGAGGCTACTGTGGAGTTCTTTTGCCAAATTCTTAGTAATCAATCATCCCTTTTTAGTTACTCAAAATAATGTTCTTTGTATCTAAATTTGGTTTTGTTGGCCAATGCTACATAAAGTCCTCTGTATTATTTCTACTGAGAAAGTAAAGCTTGGTCATCAGATTAGTGTGGATTCAAATTCTTCCTCACTTCCTCCTTCAGTAATTAATCTTTAGCATTAATAGGTTCAGACTTCCTTTAAACCTTCGTTTAGCCTAGACTCAGAACAGAATTTGTTAAGGCCACCTATCTACATAAACTGCCTGCCAAATTAAATCTCTAAAATTGTTTGCTCCTAAATGTTCTCTGTCTGTGCTTTTACCTTTGGGGGTATTCTGTTGTGTTAGATCTCTCTGATGATGGCACCATTTATGCTGTAATCTGTCGTTCTGCTCCTGGATGTTGTATTTGCTGGCCAAAGTAGAATTCTAGCATCCCTGCCTTGTCCCTTTGCCTTAGACTCTACCCTCCTCTGGTGGTGGCTCTAGTTCCAGGTTTGGCCCTTCCAAAACTACTGTA